CTCCATTAAGATAGCATTGTCTAACACCATATGTTCCTACATGATTCCCCATCTCTGCAGATTTTTGATAATAAATGAATTCTTGATGTGCATCCTTTTCAATTCCAATTCCAGATTGATAACAATGTGCAACGTTAGTTGTTCCACGAAAGTTTCCCATCTCTGCAGATTTTTGATAATATATGAATGCCTTGTGTTCATCCTTTTCAACTCCAATTCCTTCGTGATAACAATATCCGACTTGATTTGTTCCATTAGCGTCCCCCATCTCTGCAGATTTTTGATAATATTTGAATGCCTTATGTTCATCCTTTTCAACTCCAATTCCATGTTGATAACAATATCCAACGCTATTTGTTCCACTAGCGTCTCCCATCTCTGCAGATTTTTGATAATATATGAATGCCTTATGTTCATCTTTTTCAACTCCAATACCATGATTATAACAATATCCAACATCGTAAGTTGCGGTTACATATCCCATGTCTGCAGATTTTTGATAGTATTTGAACGCCTGATATTTCCAACCAAGTTCACGGAACTCTTCACCTGTTAAACACATGTTCAATGATATATAGTATCAATTAAATTTTTCATTGTTATTTATAGGTACATTTACGTTAATCTTTTACAAAATTAGTTTTTATTAATTTATACAAAAAAACAATATGTTTAAACTAAGAGTATATTGTTGTACATATGTATAGTACGTCTAAATTATTATTTAATATATTTAATGCTAATGCAAAAGTACAGTAATTGAATTGTATAATACAATTTATTTATATTGATATTAGGATAATTTGTATATAAGCCGTGTAAATAACATTTACATCCAACTCAAGAGTAATGAACGGAAAAATAACTTCGAAACCACAAACGATAATTTACGTCTAATCATTTTAGTGCAGTTATATAGCATTATTTTAAATCATTCATACCATATCGGCGGATTCGGAAAATTGGGCCTAATTTAAGGTCACTATATTCACTATATTCCGTTATGTGTAACATAAATCATAGGACTTAATGCCTTAGCAAAGTTAATATCGATCACTCAAATTATTTAAAGTCCGAAGACCTTTAATACAGCGAAACTAAGTAACCCATCAGTTGTATAAGTAACCCATCAGTTGTATAAGGAACCCGTCAGTAAATTTTAGAGTTAAGTAACTGAGTTTAAAAAATATGATACTGTTATGCCTAAAAATAACTTTTTTTTTTATCGTAAACTGTATTGACTATTTTTAACGTTAATTATGGCAACTATGTCAATTCGAGATAATACCTCTTGTAGTGAGCTTGAGTGTGGACTATGTGGAAAGATTTATAAACGACATTCAGGTTTAGCTAAGCATAAAAAACTAATTCAAGATGCTAATACTATAAGGCCAACGATTTATGAGTTGCCTGAAAGAGCAATTGAAGAGACACGAAAAACTTTAGTCTATCATATTAAAGAAAGATTAAAACAACATTCAAAACATGCTGGAAATGCTCATGTAATTGTTAATTGCACGGAGAGTCAATTTTTTAGTGTTTTTAAAGGATATATCCATAATTATTATCCAAAAACGGGAAATTATAAGTGTATATTTA